TATCTGTTGAGAAGCCGCAGAGGTACCCTGATTCCACTGGCTGCATTGGCTCGGGGGCCCTCAAGGGGCCCGTTGCCCCCCCACGTGGTTGGCTTTTAATCCTCTGAGTTCTTAGCAAAGGCGGGCGGGGGGTGGGGGGGTGAGAAAGAGCAAGTCTAAGCTCGCAAGAGACACCTAAGGGAGGAGGCTGTTTCGACCCAGCTGGAGCCAGAGTGTACATTCAGTCTTAAAATGGTTCTCCACACCGAAAAGCATGCCCCATAAACTCCAAAGGCTGCAGCCAGGACAAAGACCCCAGGAAGTGCAGCCACCGAGGGGCCCCCTGGAAATACGAAGGGGCTGGGTGGGGCCCTGCCACACCCCACTGCAACTAGGAGGGATGCAGAGTCCTCTTTGCACATTAATGTATGCCTTTTACGGGTTCGGCTTCCAAAATGGATGCTTGTTGCATGTTTTGTTTTACAAGGCTTGCCCTGGGGGTGCAGTCAGCGGCTGGGGGGGGTTGCACTCACGCCGCCCGCTTTGATCTGACAGCTTTGGGTTCTCCACTGCTGTTTCTTGCAGACGGTCTGCACAAAGTCCACTTCCAGCTGGACAAAAGTCCCCATTGGTAAGTCCTGCAAGGAAAGAAAGCTGGATCGGAGCAGAACAGGAGGCATGACCCAGCCAAGTCCACGTGAGAAATGACAGGAGTCAATCACCACAGAACGCCCCTCTCACCACCGTCATCACAGGACCAAGAAGAGCGGGGTTGGAGGGATCCCTCAGTGCCTGCTTGGGTGCCCGTTGGCAACCCTGGTCCTGCCGGAAGCAATTCCATAAGAGTGCAAAGCAGGGTGTCTCTTGGGCACCTCCTGTTCATTCAGGTGCCCAAACCTCCAGGGGCTTCTGCCAGGTATGGTCAAAAAAATCAGAGGGTAGTTGTGGATGATGCAATCAAAGCTCCACCTGTTTTTTTTATGTTGTCAAGACCACTGCATCTTTCCATGCTCATCTAGACGGCTCCTCCACCCGGCTTGGCACGAAGCATGAAAGCTTTTGCTGCAACAAATCTTTAGGACAATCCTCCCTGCTCTGACTCCTTCCTGATGACTCGGATTACAACATGGCCACCTTGGGGGTGTTAATGGGAGTTGTAATACGAACACCTGGAGGGCCCCACATCGGGGTTGCTGCTTTAGGAGGGCACAAGGCTCCCTGCTGGCTTTATGCTCTCTTTCTCTCTGGCACACTTGAGCTGGAAAAGCGTGAGCCCAGATGTCTGGCTGAATTTATTCCTGCAGCACCCTTTCCATACCTGCTCAAAACCCTGCCAAGCTTCCTTCCAAAATTTATTCTTGACAACCAGGTTGGAGGAAGCTTGAAATTAATAATAGAAAACTTTAATGACAGCATCTGAGCTTTATCAACAAAAATGAGATTGAGAGATCCCTGTCACAAAAGCAAAACATCATCCATTAGAAAGCAAAGGACGCTGAGTAATTAGGTAGAAGAGGGCCAGGGCAGCAGAATTTGCCTGAAGGAAAGAAGACTGTACCACCAGCTCACAACGGGATAACCCAAGGGAGCCATCCTTGGCCACTGAAGCTCCCTGGTGACTTTGGGTCAGGCGCGTTCTCTCTCTCTCTCAGCCTGGTCTACCTCACAGGGGTGGTGGTGTGTGCAAAAACGGGAGGAAGGAGCATTAGGTATGAATGGCAAGATGTGAAGCTCCTGCCCCTGGCTTCTTGAGTCAAGGAGCCGCGCAATCCAGGGTGGACTGAGAAGGGCCTTGCTCGTCCCAGCTGCCGGGGCCTCCGCGCAGTCGGGGCGCCGAGGAGAGCCTCGCCGCCGGGCAGGCTGGGGGGCGGAAGGGGCACCGCCCAGGAACGGTCGCTCCCCTGCCC